ACAACAAGTTGGAGAACTATTTCAAGACGCATGGAGGCGTTTCAAAGCCTTGTTGAAGGAATGCCCTCATCACCGCATTCCTCTTGATCTTCAAATTGATACATTCTACAATGGTTTGAACTCTTCATGCCAAGCCATTGTAGATAACCGTGCGGAGGGCTATATTGGCAACAAAACTGAAACGGAAGCTTTGAGAATCCTTGAATACATTGCTTCAAATCCTCAACTACAAGGAGGAGATGTCAAATTGGCCGGTGTGAGCGAGGTGTCCATAGCTCATGAGTTGGACAAACGGTTTGCTGATTTTCAAGAAGCCATGCATAAAAATCTTCAAGCTTCTATTCACACGGCTCTGCAAGCCGTGATTGGAGGGGCCAACCAAGTGGCTAACGTGGAAAACATAGCACAAGCGGAAGATAATTCATCTCAAACTCTTGAAGAGGTGAATTTTATGAATTCATATGGGAATATGAATTCATAGGGGGAACCAAGGAGGCAATAACTACCCCAACAATCAACAAAGGTGGAACCAAGGTAACTCTTGGAAACCACAAGAGGGGCCTCATAATCCTCCTCCTAATCCTCCATCCGGGTTTTCACAAGGGCAAACAATGGAGGAGATGATGAAAACCCTCACCCAACATATTGTGGCTAGTGTAAAAGCCCGAAATGAGGAGAACTTTAGTAGAGTGGAGGCATCCATTGGGAATCTCCATTCACAATTCACAAAGCTTGATCTTCGATTTGAAGATCAAAACCGGAAAATTCATCAACGCATGGACAACATTGAACAATACACCAAGTCATCTATTCACAACTTGGAGGTACAAATTGGGCAAATTGCTCAAGGAAAAAGCACAAGAGAGCAGGGGTGGTTTCCCACCAGAACGGAAATCAATCATCGGGAGAGCGTGATGGCCATTACCACAAGAAGTGGGAGACAAATGGAGGACCCCAAGATGCCGGAAAGGAGAAAGACGCAGGAGGAACAAAAAGATGTTACACATACACCGCTCTCACCTATCATGGCTCAATATGTTCCTCACATCCCAAATATGAAAGACGATTGGTACGATTCTACATGGAGAAGGATTTATTCCTAGGAATTTCAAGCTTGCAGGTTTTAAACCTCAAATTATTAGATGGAACAGACAAAATAAAACCTGGAAGCTTAACGTTGATGCAAGCTACTTATCTGGTATCTCCTTTGGTGGTGCTATCTTGAGAGATAGGTCCGGGACTTTTGTCTCTGCTATTATCTTTCCTATTCAGGCTCGACCCCCCCTCGATGCTGAGTTGCGAGCTGTCTTCTTCGCTCTGAAGTGGGCGATTGCTGCTGGTTTTGAAGACTTCCAGGTTGAATCTGACTCTCACATGGCGCTGCAATACCTTGACGGAAAGGAGAGTAGAAGGTGGGCGATTGAGATTCAGGAAACTATACAGATGCGAATTAGGCAACGGGTTTCATTTGGACATACAAGACGGGAAGGGAATTGGGTCGCTCACTTTCTGGCCCAAGAAGCGAATAACTGCTCGGTTATATGCAAAGGGTGGGGATCCATATGCAAATATATCACGAAGGATGACAAAGAACCTTTGACTTGATTCTGTCTAGCAGCATGGGATGAAGACGATTATGTGCAAGAACATTTTCGGAAGAAGGCACTGTACCTGGATCAGCTTCCGGTTTAAGCTAAACGATCTTATTGGATGGACTTTTTTGGCATTCCTTCTATTAGAGAATAATTATTTCACTTTTGTTTTACTTTGGGTTTGGTTTGGTCCCCCCGATTTTTGTACCACTTTTGCTTTTTAATAAAATTGTGGTAAATGTCCCCCGGCATTTACCCCACTAATTTTGGTGGTTGACCTTCCAGGGTGTTGGGATATATTATCCCGGCCTATTACTGTTCAGGAGCCCAAGACATTATCCAGTACGGAGCCCGAGCAGCTAGGCCCATTTCGGCCCATCCGGCCCACTTTGACCACCAGGCCTGATATCGGCCCGTTTGGCCCATTAGGGTGGAGAGCCCCTTCTCTCCTTCCCCTATAAATACGGAGCTTAGCCTCCATGTAAAGGATCCTCTTTTAGCTCCATCTTCCTTCTTCTTTTAGACTTAGCTCAATACTCCATGAATGGGAGCTCAAATTGTTCTATGTAATGGTGAGGAGAGTCCTAATGAGAAAGAGAGGGCTTGGACATTAGCCTAAAAAGTCCCGTGGTTTTCTCCCTTTCGGGTTTCCACGTAAAAACTGAGTTGTTCATACACATTTATACATATATTTACTATATCGTGTTGGATAAACTCAACACTGGCGCCGTCTGTGGGAATCTGTCCAAAAAGATTCATGTGTTTCTGCTGTTCTTGAGTTTATACAAAAAAAATTCATACGAAATGGACTGATTACAAAAAAAAAAAAAAAAAGATTCTGGAAAGCAAGTAGGAGGAGGAAGGTTCGACATGAACAAAGAAATCTTTTCTTGGGAGATGTAGGAAGCTACGAAATCTGGAAGTGAAAATCTGAATTTTCCAGATCCGTTTTTTAGGTCGCCGGAGCCGCCGTCACCGTCGCCGCCGGCATGGAACCTCCGTGGTGTTAGCCTGCACCAGACGAGCTCGCTGCAGCGCTCCAGACCTCGTAACCCTTGCAACACAGTTGCTCGTCGCTCGCGGCTGGTTCCACCATCTCAGTCGCCGCACCGCCGCTCGACGCCAGCGGTCAACCACTGATTACTCCTCAACCTGGTTGGTCTCTGCTCAAGCCCTCGCCAGCCACTCCCCCGATGCGGTCTGAGAAATTTTCCGGCTGAGACCTCTTGACTTCCGCCATTAATGGCGGTTGGGGGTCAGGGAAGATATATTATGAAGTTCAGCCGATCTTACGTCGGCCTGCCATAGGCTGTCCTCTCCGGCCGTCTTTGCGCCGCAACGACGTCCTTGACCACCGTGGCCAGCAAGTGGACATGAGCCGGTTGTCCTCGGGATGTTGAAGGGGTCATGTTCCGATCTTTCCAAAAGATACTCCGTGTCCAGCCCCTTGGCTCGAAGAGGGCCACGTCTGAAGGGATAAGGACAGCCTGCCATACTCTCGGTTGGATGGATGAGGCCCCTCTTTGACTTGAGCGGTCAACCAACCTCCAACACTCTTGGCAGAAGCTTTTGATTCCAAAAGCTAAGTATCATACGTACTCCTCATTTACTAATTAACGTATTAATTGGAATTTTGGATGCTTAGTGTGCTATTGTTTTGTCACCATTATTTAATAGGGAGTCAATACCCGAAATTAAATAATGTCGAGCAAACCTCGGATGAGTAAAGCTCCAGTGATAATTAATTTCACCGTCATTTTAATTAATGATGGGTTGTTGTGGGCCCGTCGGCCCGCTCCTGATCGGCTTTAATTAGCGAGCGGAGCATACCTGAATGGCCTTTGATAGGATGATATCATTGCTATTACCTGCTATATCACTATTTGTTAGGGATAAAAATGTCCCAAATTAAATAATGTAGGGCGAAGCTCTAGTGATGATTGGCTCAGCCAACATTTTATTGAATATTTAATTTTTTGTGGGGCCCGATGGCCCACTCTCGATCGGCTTGATTAAGCGATCCGAGCGTCTCAAGAAGGGTGATGCCCCGACGACGTATTTTAATGTGAGGGTTGCGCATGAGTTCGCACGGCATTACGTGCCCGATCGACCATCGTACCCCAATATCATCTACGCCATTAGGCGTGAAATGACTATTGCCAAACGTGGCCTATGGGGCCCGAGGGCACCAAAGCACTCCACCTCGTTTTTCCGAGGGCAGTGTGACCAACTTGGGTCTGAGTTTGAAAACTCACAGACCGATAAATATCTCTATGTGACGTTCGGCGAGCTGCTAATTGGCCCCGCCGCGAGCTGCTACGTCCATTAACCCCGCACGATGAGCCGGGCCGAGGGTCACGATGAACCATAGGCCGGTAATCGTGGATGTTAAAGAGGAAGCCATACAGATGGTTATGTGTGTATACATATTGTCGGGCCGTGCGGCCCGTTACCATGCTTATTGCGCAGCTGAAGCCACTCGACGCGCTCGAGCAAAATGATTAAAAGACGCTCGGCCCGAGTCTTGAAGACGTTCAGGGCCAGCTAAAGAGGAGACCATCACGGCTGAGGACCGTGAGACGAGCATCTCCACCTAGAGGCTGAGGGCCTAGAGGAGACCACCACGGTTGAGAACCGTGGGATGAGCATCTCCACCCCAGAGACCGATGGCCTAGGAAGAACACCTAGAGGCCGAGGGTCTAGAGGGAACTGTCACGGCGAAGAACCGTGAGACGATCATCCATCATTCAGAGGCCGAAGGCCTAGAGGAGACCATCGCGGCCGAGGGCCAACTGACACAATCATATCACGACCGGCCTCTCGGCACGGCGTGATTATCATCTTCTGAAGACCGGTATCATCCCCGCGCTGCGCGGATGAGAGCCATTGCATGGGTACACTTGATCGGCCTCTCATTGCCGACATCATTATATCACGACCGGCCTCTCGGCACGGCGTGATTATCTTATTCGAAGACCGGCCTCGTCCCCGCCACCTCGCGGACGAGGGCCGTTGCTTGACCATATCTTGATCGGCATCTCATGGCCGACACTATCATACCACGACCGGCCCCTCGGCTCGGCGTGTTCATCTTTTGAAGACCGGCCTCGTCCCCACACCTCGCGGACGAGGACCGTTGCTTGGTTCTTTCTGGTCGGCCTATCATTGCCGACACCATTATATCACGACCGGCCTCCCGGCTCGGCGTGCTTTCCATATTTGAAGACTGGCCTTGTCCCCGCCCCTCACGGACGAAGACCGTTGTTTGATTCTTTCAGGTCGGCCTCTCACTGCCGACACTATCATGTTATGTTCGGCCTCTCGGGACGACATATTTATCTTTTGAAGACCGGTTTCATCCCCGCGTTGCGTTGGATGGGAGCTGTTGCTCGGATATATCGGCCTGACCGGACACTATTGCCATCTCCATTATCAGGACTGACTGCTCAGCGACATTATGATCATTGTATATCGGCTCCCAATGCCGACCTTCTTGAGTTAGCGATCGGGCTCACCCCTCCCTTCAGGAGGGTGACCATCGCCTTCGCATGACGACCAGCGTCTCCATCGCCTCGTCATTATACTCGTTCGCTATGCCACCACCATTATGTGTGACATCCCGGGATCCCTGCGAGTTTCTTGGATACCGAATGTCTTCTTCGATGTAGGAAGATCGGTAGGACCACAGACCAGGGACGGACTAAGAAGAGCTAGGGAATCTCGATGCAGATAAACCTGTTCATCCTTGCGATGTCGGCGGACACCGAACGTCTCCTCGAAGTAGGGACGCCGGTGGGACCAGGGACCAAGGACGAACGAAGCACCAGGGAATCTCGATGCAGATAAACCTGTTCCTCATTGAGATGTCGGCGGATACCGGACGTCTCCTCGAAGTAGGAACGCCGGTAGGACCAGGGACCAATGACGAACGAAGAGTATGGATTGCCTCCACCAAAAAAAAAAAAAAAAAAAAAAAGAAAAAAAAAAATGGGGAGAAGAGGAGAGGAGCTCCTATGTAGAAGGGAATCTTGCCCGGGTGTGCCAGATCTTCTCCAACCGCCGAAGACGAACGCCTCTCGGTGTAGAGGTTAGTAGAGACGCGGAGGGGGCTAGACGAACCAAGGGAGCCTGCCAAGATAAACCTGTTTATCCCACAAATGACCATGGATCGATGGACGTGGGGTAACAAAGTCGGGGACCCGTGAGGGTAGACCTGTTCGTCCCTGCGAGTCCTTGGGTACCGAACGTCCTCTTCGAAGCAAGAGACGTCGGTAAGGCTAAAAGGACCACGGACGAACGAAAAAAGGGGGGAATCTCGATGTAGATAAACCTGTTCATCCTTGCGATGTCGGCGGACACCGAACGTCTCCTCGAAGTAGGGACGCCGGTGGGACCAGGGACCAAGGACGAACGAAGACTAAAAGACTCCAAAAAAAAAAAAAAAAAAAAAAAAAAAAAGATGCCAGAAGAGCACGGAGCAAAGAATGATTTTATCCCTCGGCGCTATTGGCTGGGAAGTACAAACTGAAAAACATATGTAAAGAATAATTACAAAACTTAAGTACGAAGAATGAAGTGGCCGACGACGATCGGCTAACATCAGGTTTTCTTTTGCCTTGGACGACGAATACCAGCTCCCCAGATCAGACGGAGGAACATCGCCCAGATTTATTTCAGGCTCACCATTCCTTCCTGGATGGAGTCCTGGCAGACGATCGGCTTCTCACAGCCAATCAGGATAGAGACTTGACACATCACCAGCACGGCCGAGGGCCGCGAGACGATTACCACCCACGATTTATCACTATTTTTATGCATCACGATCGGCCCCTCAGCGCCATCGTGTCCAGACTCACGGTTCGGCTCGCCCATTCCTTCCAGGATGGCGACGACCGTCTTATACAGCACGATCGGCTTCTCAGCGCCATCGTGTCTCTTTCACGTTCGGATCGCCCCATTCCCTCCAGGATGGCGACGAACGACTTATGCAGTGCGATCGGCCCCTCGGCGCCATCGTACCTGATTTCACGGTTCGGCTCGCCCATTCCTTCCAGGATGGCGACGACCGTCTTATACAGCACGATCGGCTTCTCAGCGCCATCGTGTCTCTTTCACGTTCGGATCGCCCCATTCCCTCCAGGATGGCGACGAACGTCTTATGCAGTGCGATCGGCCCCTCGGCGCCATCGTACTTGGCTTCACGGTTCGGCTCGCCCATTCCCTCCAGGATGGCGACGACCGTCTTATGCAGCACGATCGGCTTCTCAGCGCCATCGTGTCTCTTTCACGTTCGGATCGCCCATTCCTTCCAGGATGGCGACGACCGTCTTATGCGGTACGATCGGCCCCTCAGCGCCATCGTACCGAGCTCACGTTCAGTTCGTCCATCCCTTCCAGGGTGGCGACGAACGTCTTATGCATCACGATCGGCTTCTCAGCGCCATCGTGTCTCTTTCACGTTCGGATCGCCCCATTCCCTCCAGGATGGCGACAAACGTCTTATGCAGTGCGATCGGCCCCTCGGCGCCATCGTACATGGCTTCACGGTTCGGCTCGCCCATTCCCTCCAGGATGGCGACGACCGTCTTATGCAGCACGATCGGCTTCTCAGCGCCATCGTGTCTCTTTCACGTTCGGATCGCCCCATTCCCTCCAGGATGGCGACGAACGTCTTATGCAGTGCGATCGGCCCCTCGGCGCCATCGTACTTGGCTTCACGTTCGGATCGCCCCATTCCCTCCAGGATGGCGACGAACGTCTTATGCAGTGCGATCGGCCCTTCAGCGCCATCGTACCTGGCTTCACGGTCCGGCTCGCCCATTCCCATCGGATGGCGACGACCGTCTTATGCAGCACGATCGGCTCCTCAGCGCCATCGTGTCTCTTTCACGTTCGGATCGCCCCATTCCCTCCAGGATGGCGACGAACGTCTTATGCAGTGCGATCGGCCCCTCAGCGCCATCGTACCTGGCTTCACGGTCCGGCTCGCCCATTCCCATCGGATGGCGACGACCGTCTTATGCAGCACGATCGGCTCCTCAGCGCCATCGTGTCTCTTTCACGTTCGGATCGCCCCATTCCCTCCAGGATGGCGACGAACGTCTTATGCAGTGCGATCGGCCCCTCAGCGCCATCGTACCTGGCTTCACGGTCCGGCTCGCCCATTCCCATCGGATGGCGACGACCGTCTTATGCAGCACGATCGGCTCCTCAGCGCCATCGTGTCTCTTTCACGTTCGGATCGCCCCATTCCCTCCAGGATGGCGACGAACGTCTTATGCAGTGCGATCGGCCCCTCAGCGCCATCGTCCCTGGCTTCACGGTCCGGCTCGCCCATTCCCATCGGATGGCGACGAACGTCTTATGCAGTGCGATCGGCCCCTCAGCGCCATCGTCCCTGGCTTCACGATCCGGCTCGCCCATTCCCACAGGGTAAAAAAAAATGTTCCTCACATCCCTTACCCACAAAAATTGAAGAAGAAAGGAGATGATAAGAAATAAAAGAAATTTCTTGATATTTTCAAGAAATTAAGCATCAACATACCTTTTGCGGAGGCCATTGCGGATATCCCATCTTATGCAAGATTTCTTAAAGGTATCATCTCCAACAAAAAGAGGTTAGAAGAATTCACAACTGTGGCACTAACGGAGGAATGTAGTGCCATCATTCAAAACAAACTTCCCCCAAAACTTAAAGATCCCGGAAGCTTCACCATTCCATGCTCTATCGGAAAAGTTGGGGAGGTAAGGTCTCTTTGTGACCTTGGTTCTAGCATAAATCTTATGCCCTACTCCCTATTTAAAAAGCTAAGTGTGGGGGGACTCCAACCAACAACGGTTGCTTTGCAATTAGCGGATAGAACAATCCGCTATCCGATAGGCATCATGGAGGATGTCATTGTCAAAGTAGGAAAATTCTACTTTCCGGTAGATTTTCTTGTTTTAGACATGGAAGAGATGGAGGTTCCCGTCATCCTTGGGAGATCATTTTTGGCCACTTCCGCAACCGTCATTGATGTGCAAGCGGGCACCGTAAAGCTAAGAGTGGGAGGAGACGATGAAACATTCAATGTATGGAAAACACAATCCATACCAACTCAAAACATGGAGGTCAACACAAATCCTTTCATCCCTCCCAAGACCATAAACATCATGAAGGCACAAATATTGAGGCCGGAGTGCCCTCCAACACACCACGGGAATGAAAAGAATGGACGGACAACTCCATGGCATCCCCATGATCTAAAAAAGGTAACATTGGTCAAACGTCTTCGGGAGCCCAATCACACGTGAGAGGTACGTTGCGTCCGGCCTATGACGTTAAACTGAGCGCTAATTGGGAGGCAACCCAACATATTCAATTTCAAATAAATATGTCTAGTTAAATACATATTCATATTTATTCATAATCGAAACCGACAAAAACAAAAACAAAACAAAAAAAAACAAAAAAAGCACAAAAAAGAAGAAGAAAAAAATCATCTAAACTCAGGTATCATGCAACTCCTACTCTCACAAGACGGTCCATTCTGTTATTGAAGTTTTCGTCCTCCGTTGTATCCAAAAATGTACATTGAGGACAATGTATCTCAAGTGTGGGGGGTGCATGTAACACCGCCCCCAAGTATTTGTACTTTATCAATTCATGTACTGAACCTTGAGAAATGAATAAACTCATCTTTACGCGATTGTAAATTTTTATCATTCTTTTACGTGGATAATAAAATCCACGTGGGGCCCACACCAGAAGTGGGGGCCGCCCGATATTATTGGGACCGCATATTATATTCATCTGGGTCTAGATAATATGTATATGATGGTGGATGTCCAAGTTGGGCCATATAAACCATGCGTGTTGGCCAGTTGTGCATATAAAGCCCATTTATCAGTACCGAAGGAATATCAGATAAAAAGCCATAATAAATTATGGAGACCACCAAATTAAAGATGAGGAATATACATTCATTCTTATAGCCAATAATAATTGGAAGGATGAGAGATATTTCATTTTACCCGATAAAATGAAATATAGTTAAAACAGTCCGGAAAATACAACTTTCGGGATCGAGTGTACACTCGGGGACACAAAGGGATGACCTCCCACATATGTGGGGGCCACCCCACGAAATCATTTGAGACAAATGAGAGAGGGGGGTCGGCTGGTGTGATGGAAGGAGGATGGAAGGGGGGGTTGAGACAAGAGTTGACTCCAAGGGACCCCTCACCTCTTACCATCATAGGAAGAGCCAAAACACACCCCAATCACTCCCTATACCCATAGGCTCGACCAAGACACTCAAATAGGAGAGAAAAGATCTGTAAATACTCCATTTTCATCCACCATACACGCACCAAGAGCAAGGGAGGAAGAAGGAAGGAAAAGAGAAGAGAAAAGAGGAGTTTAGGTGCGAAAACTTGTGATTAATAAGGTAATGACTTCATTAATCCCATTCCTTCTCTTTAATCACATTTCACACTCCTAGGATAGTTCTACACATGTAAAAGTGTAGAATGGGGGTTGAAGGGTTGGTTTATACCCAAAACGAACCTTGAGAGCCAAGTTGACGGGTTCACCGGAAAATAACCTTTTGGAGGTTGTTTGTATTGATATGGGTTTTATGATGATAAAACCTTGTTATTAACTTGTATAAGGTATTTCAAGAACTTTCACGGGGTTGAAAGGGTCGCCGGAGTTGTCGCCGGAGTTGGTTGAAGTTCACCGGAGTTTCACCGGAGCTCAATAAGGGAGGCTAGAACTTCATAAGCTTCTTTAAGGTGAGAAGACGGCTATATGCTTTATAACTTTTGATTGAGGCATGAGATTACCTAAAGTAATCAAGTATATGTTTTATGGAATGATTAAAGTAAATCAAGTATTGGCTTATGCCACGGTTATATATAAAACATAGTTGAAAAGCATGTTTTGTATGTTTGGTGATTAAAAATGTGATAACTTATTATGTACAATTCTCCAGGGATCCAAAATGGTATTTTTGGATCAAGGACGTCAAGGAGTACATGCGTATAAAATTTCGCGTTAATCGGACTCCGTTTGGGCGGTCAAACGGGTGTTGACCGCCGAGGCAAAGGTGATACCCGACCGGGTATGGGTACATACCCGACCGGGTATTGATTAAAAATGGCTCCAGAAGCCACTGTCTTACTAGACCCGACCGGGTAGGGATATAGACCCGACCGGGTCTCAAGTAAAATTTACTCCAGGGGCTTCTGCCCGGTCCTACCCGACCGGGTAAGGTTGGGTACCCGACCGGGTATTGGATTATGCCCAAAACAGGCAGTTTTGAGCAGGTTAACGTGGGTCGTTCAAGTGGGACCCGCCCACGTTGGTTACTAGGGATTTTTATATGACTATAGGACTAGGTATTGTCTATAGTTAAGTGAATGAAAGGTTAGCCATATCCAGGTTAGGGTTTGGTTAGAAATAAGGTTGAGGTTGAGCATCCTCGGGACGGTAAATGATCCCAAAACTCGGTGGGGTTGAGTATCCTCGGGACGGTAAATGATCCCAAAACTCGGTGGGGTTGAGTATCCTCAGGACGGTAAACAATCCTAAAACTCGGTGAGGTTGAGTATCCTCAGGACGGTAAACAATCCTAAAACTCGGTGAGGTTGAGTATCCTCAGGACGGTAAACAATCCTAAAACTCGGTGAGGTTGAGTATCCTCAGGACGGTAAACAATCCTAAAACTCGGTTGAGGTTGAGTATCCTCGGGACGGTAAACAATCCCAAAACTCGGTTGGGGTTGAGCATCCCCGGGAGGGTAAATACTCCTGAAACTCGGTAGGATATTATGATAGAATGTAGCTCTTAAGCTAGGCATTCAGGAATGAAAGGGGAAAGGTTGGGTAAGTACCTTGTCTCTAAAAGACTCTTTTGTGAGAAAACGACCTACGGGTCAAGTATTTTACAAGTATATACAGTATGTATTATCTTGGGAATGGGGTGACAATGGTTACACCTATAAATATATGTATCATCCTATTTTTGGGTCTCGTGTCTGAGACATTAGTTATTCCTCATATAGCCTGCTTGTCACTAGTACTTCTATGGAGTACTGACCCCTTCGGGGGCCCTCACATTTTTCAGGTTGAGGCTAGAGTCCTGCTACCTGCACCTTTGCCCAGGGTGAACTCAAATAAGGAAGACGTGGTTCGTGCTTCCATTCTTATTTGAAATTATGAAATTGCTCATGGATATTTGAACGATGTTTTCTATTAAACTATTGAAGGGCCTGTGTGCCCATGTTTGCCACATGTGGCTGAATGTCAAACTTATTTTATTTCCGCATTCATTTGACTAATATATTGATGTTGATTGTATGGGTTTACTAATCGGTTTGGCAATAGAATCTATCAGACGCCTTGTATAATTTAATAAGAATGAACTACGTTGTTCTTATTGGGTTGTACGGCGGTTGTCTACGTGGCACGGATGTGGTTCGGGGCGTGACAATTAAGTGGTATCAGAGCAACCCTGCGACAGTGTGCTGATCCGTTGGATATCGGGCAGACACCTAGCAGGGGAAAAGATTCTGGGATTTGATTGAGATTGGTTTAAGGGCGCAACGAGGACGTTGCGATCCTAAGTGGGGGTGATTGTAACACTTGAGATTTAATATAAACGGATTAATAGTACTACTCATACCAACAAGGTGCATCTCCTTTTAAGGGAGCTCATTAGCCAAGAACTCCAAAGTTAAGCGTGCTTGCACGGGAGTAGTCTTGGGATGGGTG